CTGATGGGACAGGAAGTAGACCAGCAGTGCCATAGTGGTTAGGGCAGCAGGATCCTACGTGGCCGACTGTGTGGTTTAAGTCCTGACTCTGCAGCTTGACAAACGCACTGGGCACATGTGCATGCCTGCCAAAAATCCCCAAAGAGGATAGATATAGGAGAAGGATTGCAGTGTGACCTTGCGTCATGAGGTACTTTGACACTTTCCTTCTTGAACTCTCTTTCTCCTGCAAGCACATGCACCCTTGGGCAATTTTTTTTAATGAAGGGACAAAAATAAACTCTATCTCTTAGGATTATTGAGAGAGTAAATGATAAAATGCATACGTGTTATACCTTAACTTAGCACAAACCGCCAGGGGAGGTTAATGGCACAGCCCAGGAGAGGAGGAGGAGGGCTGACTGCCAGACTTCCGGACACCAGCGTCAATGCAGCAGTCTCACCCAGTCTCAGCTGTCTGCTGTTTCTCTGCTCAGCTCACAAGTTCCAGGGATTCAGCAGACACCTCCTACCTTCCTCACCCATCCTGAGAAAATGGTAAGAATCAGAGCTTTCTGTGCTGAGGGCAATAAACTTGCCTCTGGCAGAAGGCAGATGCCTCACGACGCAAGGTGCTTTCCTCCCTGTATTTCCTGTGTCTCCAACTCGCGAAGATACGAGGACACGACGTGAACGGGCAGAGCAGGGTGCTGTTGGGAGCATCAGCACTCTATTCTCACCCACCGGGGTAGGAAGGTTGCTAAACCCAGCAGGAACATCTCCCTCTGAGTCAGGTAGAGGAATTAAAGGTGTCTGGACCGGGAAGTCCTGAACACATGCCCTGTCCCCTAAGCCTCTGCTCTGGGGGCCTGACCAGCGGTATCTGCTACCATCTTCCTCGTTGTGTCATCCTGATGATGCAGCCACATTAGCGGGCACTGTGGGAGGCTCAGCCCAGGTGGTCACCTCCTCCGGCCTCATGTGCTCTGAGGCCTGGGGGCGTCCATTCTGACCCCCTCGCTGTCACATTGCCGCTATCTGCGTATGCTCACCCTCCCAGCCAGCCTGCCCCACACAGGCCGCCAGCCCGGCTAGCACAAAAGGAGACCACTGAGCTGGTATCAAAAGGCAAAGCCCTCGGGGATTTTTAGTAAATCAGTCAGGACCTGTGGCTTATTTAAGAATGCCTATGGCTTTTTAACTTCTCCGACTTTTGCCAAATTACTGACATGTTCTTAAATTAGCCAGTTTTGTTTTTTGTTTGCTTGTTTTCCCCCAAACTTTTCCTCTGCTTCTTGGGAAGATATACCCTCAGGCATGTGGTCTCTCTGTACCTGACAGTGCCCTGGACCACCATCACCTGCCCACGCCAGTTATCTTCAGCTCAGCCCTCAGGAATAGTTAGCCTTGAGGATCACAGAAAGCAGAGCCACGAAGAGAGGGGAGGTAACGGCACTCTTACGTTGTATCTACGTGTTGTACAATAAAACAGTTTGTGGGACTTAAAGACACCCCTGGGCCGCATCTATGCATTTATAGGATGATCTCTAACAGCAGATCCACGGAAAACTCCCAGATGCTTCAACGACTGACAATAGCAAGTGTCGAAGATCAGGTTATCAAAAAGCCACCAGTCACCGTACATCACAGAAATGGCACTCAGCCGTGGGGATGCTGAGCTCTGCCTTGCTGAGAATGTCCCAGAAGATTTTGCTTGTGGACTGTCATCTGAGCTCCACCCCAGTCCTCACCCTGCCCCATCTGGAAGATGCTAACGCTGCCCAAATTCAGCACTCCCGGAAGGTTCAGACTGGGGCTGATTAACACATTGTAACTTTCCAATTAAAGTCAGGATTGCTCCGTCCTCATCCTGCTTCTACACACTGCTCTGTAGATGGCTCGCGTGGGACAGCAGAACGTGGTGGAGCTCTAGCCGCCCACACTGCTGCTGGGATCGTCACATCCTAAAAGAAAATGCTGCCTTGCCTTACCTAAGCTTATAAAGCTGTCCTGTGTGGATTCACTCTGGGTGTTAGAAGCACCGAGCGAGTGCAGGCAACAGAGCAGAAGTAGACAAATGGGATTACGCTGAGATAAGAAGCTTCTGCAGAGCAAAGAAAATGATCAGTCAAGAGACAACTTGCAGAATGGGAGCAAACACCAGGGGTCTACAAAAAGCTCACAGAAAATGCATGTTATGAAAATCGTATGCATTGCTTTCAAATTTGGTGCAGATGGGAGGATGCCACTGTGCAATACTGGAGCCACATGGGGGGCTGGGTTCAGATGCCAAGTTGACCTAAACACCACATGTGTCTGAGTGCACCCATGATCCTGCCTGGCAGGGCTATTGAGGGGGGGAATCATGACATGGCAAGACCCTGTTGAAGGTACGCATTTCTCTATCACAGAGAGATAAAACAAGCTTTCCTTTTAAATGAGCAAACTATTTGAATAAGTCTTTTTCAAAAGAAGACACAAATGGACCAGCAGTTAGCGTAATGGCTATGTCACTAGACTCCCATGCAGTCGACCGTGGTTCGCGTCTCAGACCCAGTGGCTTAAAACTCACACCGGGCGCATGTGCATGCGTGCCCAAGACCCCGAGAGGAGAATGGAGGAGAAGGGATTCGGTGTGGCCATCCCCCCTGGGGGGTGATTTCTTGCTTTCTGTCTCTGTGTCTCTCTCTGTCTGTCGGGCAAGCGCTCACGCCCTATAGCAAAAACCTCTAAAAAAAAGACAACAAATGAGCAAACAAGTCTATTTCAAAATGCTCAACATCCACAGTCATAGGAAAATGCAACTGAAACCATAACAAGATATCATCTCATCTCATCCCCATTAGAGTGGCTATCTTCCAAAAGACAATAAATAACAAATGCTCGTGAGGATGTGGAGAAAAGGGAACTCATTCGCACTGTTGGTGGGAATAGAAAGTAGTAGCCGTCGTAGAAAACACTCCGGAGGCCCCTTAAGTAAAAGCAGAACTATTCCATAACTCAGCAGTCCCAATGCTGAGTATACGTCCAAAGGGCGCTAAGTCAGTGTGTTGAAGAGATATCGGCACGCCCAAGTTTAGTTCAGTACTATCTTAATAGCCAAGGCACAGAATCAAACTAGGTGTTCAACAACAAACAAGTAAAGAAAATGTGATATAAACACACAATGGACTATTATTCAGCCATTAAGAACTAAATCTGGGGACCCTCAGGTAGTATAATGGTTACGTTGCTGGACTCTCACATAGTCAACTGCGGTTCGAGTCCCGGACCCAGTGACTTAAATCTCACACTGGGCATGTGTGCGTGCATGCCCGAGATCCCATGAGGACTGTGGCATGGCCATCCCCCGGGGGGTGATTTCTTGTTTTCTGTCTCTCTGGCAAGGGCAGAGCAAAAATCTTCCCTATAGCAAAAATCTCTCTCTCTTAAATAAAAAAGAAATTAACTCTGTCATTTGTGATGACAAGAATAAGCTTAGAGGATATTATCTTCAGTGAAGTAAACAAGGCACAGAAAGACAAACATGCCATGTTTTCACTCATGTATGGAAGCTAAAAGAAGTGGATCTCATAGAGAGTAGAATAGTGGTTACCAGAGGGTAGGATAACAGGGCAGAGAAGGGGGATAAGAGTTGGCTAATGGGTACAAAATTATTAGATAGCAGGATTAAGTTCTAGTGTTCTATATCACAGCAGGGTGACTGCAGTTAACATTAAAATAGTGCATATTTTCAAATAGCCAGATGAGAGGATCTTGAATGTTCCCAACACAAAGAAATGTTTGAAGTGACAAACATGCTAATTATCCTGATTTGATCGCTACACATGGTATACATATAAAAAATCAGGGACCAGCAGTTAGTGTAATGGCTATGTCGCTGGACTCCCATGTAGTTGGTCATGGTTAAAGTCCCGGACCCGGTGGCTTAAACTCACACCAGGCACGTGTGCGTGCATGCCCAAGATCCCGAGAGGAGAATGGAGGAGAAGGGATTGTGATGTGGTCATCCCCCCTGGGGGGTGATTTCTCGTTTTCTGTCTCTCTGTCTCTCTCTGTCTTTCTGGCAAGCGCACACACCTTATAGCAAAAATCTCTCCAAAAAAAAAAAAAATCACACCATAACCAACAAATATATGTGCAATTATTATGTGTCATTAATTTTTTTAAAAAGTCATAAACAACAAAAACACACAAGAGTAAAGTACCAGCCACTGCTTATTTCGGCATTGGAGGTACCCACAGGGCTCCACGGCACTCACTACTGGGTTAAGCTGATTTAAAACAGGCTGCCAGGGGCCAGCAGGTGGCATGGTGATTAAGGTGCTGGACTCCCACATATCCAACTGTGGTTTGAGTCCCAGACTTGGCTTGCTTTCTCACTTTCACTCTCACTCTCTCGTTTTTTTTTTTTTTGTTGTTGTTGTTTGTTTGTTTTTCTCTCTCTGGTGAGCACATGTGCCCTATAGCAAATTAAAATAATAATTATAATAACAAACAAAATTAAATAATTTAAAAAATACATTAATTAAATAGGCTAAAATTTCCTGAACATTTTCTTCAAAAGTAGACTCTTTCTTTTAAGTGTGGGTGGATTAATGACGACTCACTTTTTTTGTTTTTTTGAGAGGTTTTTTGCTATAGGGTGCGTGCACTCGCCAGACAGAGAGAGACATAGAGACAGAAAGCGAGAAATCACCTCTCAGGGGGGATGGTCACACCACAGTCCCTTCTCCTCCATTCTCCTCTCGGGATCTTGGGCATGCACGCACATGCGCCCGGCGCGAGTTTTAAGTCACCGGGTCTGGGATGCAAACCGCGGTTGACTACATGGGAGTCCAGCAACATAGCCACTACGCTAACTGCTGGTTCCCATGACGACTCACTTCTGACAAATAGAAAAAAAGGCAAAAGTGCTGAGTACAACTTCAGAGAATGAGCGTATTCATTTTCTATTGCTATGTAACAAATTACCACACACTTACCCTAAACAACATGAGCTTAGCATCTCACACACTTACAGTCAGAAATCCAGGCACAATGTGAGCAAGTCTTCTGCTAGGAATCACACAAAGCTGAGAAACTAAGGTGGTGGCCAGGACTGAGAACCCAGCTGTGGTTTGGGGTCCTCTTCCCAAATCATGTAGATTCCTGGCAGAATTCAGGCCCTGGCGGTTGTAGGACTGAGATGCTGCTGGCTGGTGTACTGCCAGCTGCAAACACTCTAGACTCCTCAGAGGCTGGTCTTAGAGCCTTGTCGCCTGGGCACCTCCATAGTACGGCACTTCTCTCCTGAGACCCCCAGGAACATTGCGAGCTTCAAAACTCTCTGATTCATTTAAAAAGATCATCTGCTTAGGTCAGTCTCTTCCAAGATAGTCTCCCTACTAATTAACTCAAAGTCAGTGCATCAGGGGTCTTAATGACACTATCCCTTCTGCTGTATAATGAAACAGTCATGGGAGTGAGATCTCTTCATATGTAAGTCCAGCTCACACGGCAGGGCTTTACATAGGGCGTGGACAGCAACAGACAGAATTTAGAAGCTACCTCAGAACTCTGATGGCCACTCTGTCTCTAGGATCCCAACTGCGGGGAATGCTGGGTGTCATACAGCAAGGGCAATGAAGCAGCCTTGTAGAGAAATCCGGGGGGTGGGGAGGGGGGTCACCAAGGTCTCTTGTTAGCAGTGAGCCAGGATCCTAGGCCTCCAACCCACAGCCAGGTGGGGAAGCACCCTGAGAGCAGACCTCTAGCCCTGGTCGAGCCTTCGGATGATGCCATTCCAACTAACATCTTAGCTGAATGCTGCGACCTCTCGACAGGTCCTGAGTTACAACCACCCAACCAAGTTGCTCTCAGATTCCTGACTCTCCAAACCTAGCTGCTGTTTGAAGATGCCATGTTTTGAGGCAATAGTTACACAGCAATAAGTAATGAACACACAGCAACAGCCTTTATTCATTAAGAGAGCAATAAATAACAGAAGGAAAATACGGCACTGAAAATGAGAAGAAAAGCCACAGCAGACGTACTTAATCCCCACGCCCTCACCATTCTCAAAGAGCTCTCCTCTGACCTTTGTCACACTCTCATTACAGCGTGGTTACAGCTCGATCCTGCCCCCTTCTCTGCAGGGGTGACAAGCCATACTGACACACTGCCAGTCCCACTGCCCAGGGCCTGCGGCCTCTTGGTTTGCTCCAAGGTTCTCCCCGACGTTTCCCCTGGTGTGGATTCATAGCTTGTCCGACTCAGTTTCAAGCTGACTCCCCGAGTGCCCCTCTCTGGAAGCCTTGCTTTTCTCTCACTGGCCTTGTCCTCGGTTAGGCCTTCAAGTGTGGGACTTCATGCCCGTGTGAAGCCTGAGCCCTGAGAGGGAGCAGCTGGGCTTTCCCAACCCTGGGCTTAAGGCCATGGCTCATTTTAAGCCATTTCACAGCAGGATGCAAAGCTCTTAAATCTGGGTTGCTTTCCTCCCAAGCCGTGAGCTTAGCACTAGATGACAAATCACGAAGTCTCTGTGTCCTGCCCGTCTGGCCTCCCTCAATGATACACCCACCTAGTAACCTCCAGGCAGACCTAGGGACCCCCAAGGTCACACAGGCAGCCAGACACCCAGCCTATGCCTGAGGCCCGAGTGAGTGCGATAGGCAGCGGCAGGCTTCTATCCCTCCCCTCCCACTGCCCACCAGGAGCTGCGCCAGCCCAGCCACACACAGGTGGGGACAGAGGGGCCTGAGTGCCCTGTTCTCTGCTGTAAACAGGGCTAGAAGCTGTCTGCCTGAGCTGCAGCAGATCCTAGCAAAGTGCCAGTTCCAGAGAAGCAAAGCCAGGGCCAGGACCATTATTACCTCAGGTCAGTTCACCTTGAGCTTGAAGGAGCAGTCACTCACCAGAAGGCACAACAGGACATAGTCCAGACCACTGGCTCGCCCCTGCTGGCGGTGAGTAATTGGCACTAAACGCGGGATGTGTCTGGATTTAATCTAACCTGGGCTCAATTACTTTACTTGCTGCTGGAAATCTGCCCAGGCTCCAGTGCTTAAGTGAAGAAGGCCCTGACATGGTCAGATGACTGCAGTAGGCCCTGCTCTCTCACAGTGTAGGCACAGCCCGCCCGATGGGCCGGCTCTGGGCAGCCGCTGGGGTGATGCGCCTGTCTGCTGGGGCTACAGGAACACTCAGAAAGTGAACTCTCTAGCCCGTGATGCACTTCCGCATTACTCACCTGATGCCCAGGGTGGAAACTGGGGTGCTGGGAAGAACGCAGGTTGGACACTGCACCCATTGCAAAGGTAAAAAGAAACAGTCACAAGGCTGCTTCACCCCACATCACCGTGATGGAATGGGGCTCGGCCCCCAGCACAGAGAGGAAGGCCCACCGACAGAGGCCCCAGGAGAGGGCCGAGCCCTGGCTCTGAGCCACCCAACTAACCCCACTTTCTTTCCCCATCTGCACTTGATTTTCTGAGGCCCGCAAACACCTCTCAGTGGGAATCACTCCTCTCTCCTTACACAGGCATCTTGGGCCTGATTGGAGGGTCCTGAATCCCACCCTACCAACCTTTGCTGCCCCTCCAGGATCCTCACCTACTTCAGCCCACTTCAGGCCCATCCAGCGCACCCTGACCTTGGCAGCACTTGCTGTGAAGGCCCCTCCCTGCATACAGCCTGGTGCTTTTGGATGGGAGCAGCCTGTGGGAACACCTGGTCTCCCCCTTGGGTGTGGCCTGGCCCCACAAGAAGCCAAACCTGAGTAGGAGGCAGGGGGAACAGAATTGCCCACTCCCACACATACACTTGGTCTCATATGAGCACCTGCCTCCTCTGCAGAGCCCACCCCATCTCAGAGCTCAGCCTGGGCTCAGGGCAGGGGGAGAGTCCCAGCCAGGGCTTTCAAGCAGGAGGTGAGAAATTCTCAATGAGAACATGAGCCAAGTCGGCACAGCCAAGGAGCACCCAGGCTGCTGACTTGGAATCCTGCCCTGGACGTTGCCTGGACGCCTGGACGTACCTCTAGTCCTACAGGGCTGCCTCCAGACCCGTGCCCTGGGTTGAGAGAATTAAAAGGACGAGCAATTGGAATGTAATAAAAATCTTTGTCTCAGTTATTTCTATCTGGCCCATAGACTAAGATGTTGTCAACGGGAGAAGGCGAATGCTTTCTGAACAGACGTAATTCTGAATTAAAAGTTGATTCAATTAGTAACCCTTATCATAACATGATCAGTTAACAGGATTTGGGCCAAAGTCAAGTTCTCTGGGTTTGAATCCTGCTTCCACTGTCTGCTAGCTGTGGAATGTGAGCTACTTTGCATAGCCTCTCTGTCTGTTTCCTCATCTGCATTATGTGAATGAGGACAGCACCTCCATCCCCAACATGGAAGCAAAGTAAGATCGGCCTTCTGTGGGGCTGAGGAGGAGTGAAGAATCAGAGACAGAGGGCAGATTTCAAGATGACAGATCAAGAGATGGTGCCCACTGGGAAAGGGAGCAGGGCTGCCAGGGCCTGGGCTTGGGAGAGGGCAGGAGAGGAAGGGCTGGCCCTGCAGACACAGCGCCGAAGCCCACAATTCCGTGGGTCCAGAAGTCCAGCAGGTGCTCAGTCCATGCTGCTGTCATGACAGAGTCAGAAGGGGAAACAGAACAGAGACCGAGGCCACAGCAAGGCACTGCGCACCCTGGACCAGGGAAGAGGGCAAGGCACAAGCTGAGATGGGAAGCGAGGTGTGCTTTGGACCTGGGCCCAGCTGCAAACGTGTCAGGGGGCCTGAGGACCCTGTAGAGCATTCCCTGCAGAAACAGCAGACATTGGGAATTTCTAGGGGAGATACTAACTTTGTATTTGGACTTGAGTCTCCCCGCCTAGACACGTCGGTAGCAGTGTCCCTCTCCCCTGTTCTTGGTCATCACTCGAGATTGCAGTGCCTGGTGTTGCGTTAGGAGCTGGGCTCACTGTGGGCCTCTTATACCCCGAGGCTCCTGTAAACACACAGCTCGGGAGGGGTCAGCTCAGCATCCTCAGCTGGAAAAAGTATCTGAGTGACGGTTGTCAAGGATGCGACAGCCCTTGTGGGCAGCAGAGGCCAGGACCTCAGAGGTTCTGAAAACTGGTCAGGAAGCACTGACAAGAAGGCAGGCTCCAAAACGGAGACAGGCAAAGGTTTTCTCTCCCAGGCCTCAAAAGCAAACAATGCGAAGCCGGGAGGCCACACCTCTGTCTTCATTCACAACTTCTAGAGCACGCTTTCCCCAAAAGCTTTCTGTGGTGACAAAATGTTCTCAATCTGCAGCTCCCAATGTGGTAGCCACCAGCCATCTGTGGCTACAGAACACTTGAAACTCATCAGGTGTGACTGAATTCTTAATTTTATTTTCAATTAATTTGAAGTTAAATGTTCCCACCCACATGTGGCTGGCGGCTACTGTATTAGACGGTGGTGTTCTGAGGGAACGAAGATTGCAAAGTCTTGTATCCATATGCCAATATGCACATACATGGTCCAGGTGGAAGAGAGAGCCATCCAGGGTGCCATTGTGGAATGCTTGGCCTTGGGTAGTGACAGCTCCTCTCACAAAAAGTACTAGGAAAATGATGGGACTAGCAGATGATGTAATGGTTATGACTAGACGACCACATAGTCAACCGCGGTTCAAGTTCCAGACCTGGTAGCTTAAAACTCACACTGGGCGCGTGTGTATGTGTCCAAAATCCTGAGAGGAGAAATGAGAAGGGATTGCAGTGTGGCCATCTCTCCTGCAGGGTGATTTCTTGCTTTCTGTCTCTCTGTCTTTCTAACGAGCACATGCACTCTATAGCAAAAAAATCTAAAAAAAAGAAAAAAGTAATAGGAAAAAGAAACCGGGCCCTTCCTGGAGCCGACCATTCTTCCTGTACTTCACCATCTGCAACAAGATCCACAGCTCTGCTTCTCCATCTTCACGTAGGACAGGGGGACAGGGCAGGGGCAGGTGCAGGTGCATGCTAGGTGTCGGAAGGCCACTGATGCGGGTGGCAACCAGAACGCAGCCTCAGCCCTCACTCAGGCACTTCTTACAGTAGCAGGTGTCTGCGCTTACCTCTCCCGAGCTGTGAGTTCAAAGGGGATTGGGAGGGTCCAAGAACTAGCTGATAGTGTGACCAAGACTAGGGAAACTGTCACAGCATGGGTGGAAAAAGGTAAGTGGCTTGTCACTGCTTAGCTCTGCTGGCTGGTGGTCTCTTCTTCACTCACAATGTCTTAGGGCCCATACATGAGTATGGTTTGCACCAAAGAGGTTTTTGTTTCATTCTTGTTTTGTTGTTGTTGTTTTTCCCAAAGAATTTTAAAGGCAGCCCTGGCACCTGACATTGTGAGATGCGATTCTGAGGCAGAGATGAGCATCTCCAAGCTGCGTGACTTGGACTAGTCTAGATA